TTGAGCATTCTATACCCCTACTCCAGGGGAGCTGCCATTCATATTCATGGTTGCTGTGCTACAATATCTTTATAATGATGCTTAGTTCTAGTAAGCATAAGAGACACAATCTCAATTCTGATCTTTCTTTCAAGATGAGCAATTCATCTTCCCCAACTCCAGTTTGAGTCCAGTTCCCAGAATTTTTATCACTGGTGTAAGCTCAAACGAAGTTGTCAAAAGAACATCGCACTCTAAATTTCACATGTCCCCGGAAACTGAATATTTCACCCAGGAAAACAGTGAAAGGAATATTTTCTCCCCCTCTCCCCATGTTGCAGCCTTGGCCTTTTCAGTAACTTGGAGAAATCTTGAAGGAAATGTTTCAGGCCTCTGTCTTCTAGCTCCTTCCTAAGGGGGAACAAGTGGCAGTTAGGATTGGTGAGAACTCCACGTTCGCTGAGTCACTCTGAGTATGTTTACTCTTGAGCCATCCTCCAGGCTTTACCACTCCTATGCAGGAAAAGGAGACCCTGTACTTCTCATTTCCCTCTGGTGAACATTCAAGGAAGAGGAGGGCTCAAGACCGTCCTCCTGGCCTGTGGCTGGCCGTGTGAATCAGACCTTGCATATGCCACTTCGTGAAAAAAAGCACATAACGTTTACTCTTCAAGTCAGCATCAGTTTGCATCTTTCTGTCTCTCTAGCCATTCAGATCCCCCATCTACATTTTGATTAGAAGAGAATACGCTGCATCTCAGCCTCGAAATTAGTCTCATTCTCAAAGCCAGGTCCTAGCAAAGCACTGCACCAGGGTGTTGGGTGCATGCCCGGATTAATTAAGCTGTACTTCACAGCCCATTTGGCTATTGTTTGGGGGTGTATGCTTCACTGCTCAGAATCCCCACAGAGTGAAGAAGGGAGAATGCCATCCGGAACCACAAAGAACAGCTCCACCAGAAAAGGCTTTCCTTGGGAAGCCACAGGAAGTCCCTGTCAACTGTGTTGACAAAACCCAGAGTTTGATCCCTCAACACAGTGAAGCATCAACTCTTGATCTGGTGTTCTAAGATCAGAGACGCTATCAGCATGGGGTGGGGGGGTGGCAAGATTTATTATACAGCTTCTGAAGACAAAAGCACAAATGCTATCTATTTAGCATCTTAATTAACTAGTCAGGAAAAAGATAAAGTACTCACAAAGACCACATCTTTAACACTTTAGACACACTTGCCAACAAAATTCTGCCCTCCATTCTCTATGCACATTGGAAATGTAAGACTCTCCCTAACGAGGCTCAATCCAGAGGATTCGAGGTATGACTATATATCTGTGAGGTCTCACTTTCAGCAACATCCTCCTTAATTGGAAAGGCTAACGAAGTGGAACCGGGTCAATGATGCTGTCTGCCTAATCCATCGTGTCTGTCTAAATTGGGACTCTCTGGTTTACAGTAGAGTAAATTCCTGTCCGTCAGAAGAGAGGCTCTTGGAGACCAAAGGGGAATTTGCGACGTGCTTGCCTGCTACAGTGAAGTGCCTTTCAGAGTCTTAATGCAGGTACTGGGAACCTCAGAACTGCCTAAAATAAGGGAAGTCCTTTCATATCATCTATTGTAATGACTAAATTGGGGAAGTCAAATGGGGAACCAGGAGAATGAGTTAGTGGCCCTCATCCTTCAATTTGATAGCTACACCCTCTGGTCATGTGACTCTGCAGTTCTTTGCAGTGTGCTTCTCCATCCCTTAAGTTTGGGCTTGCCCATGTGGCTTGCTTTGTCCAATGGGAGGTTAGCAGATGTGATATAAGCAGAAGCTAGAGATATGCTTGGGCAATTGAGCAGTACTTCTTGTGTTTTTGCCATTGCCACACAAAAACATACCTCAGGTAGTCTGCTGGTGAAAGGAGGATAAGAGACATTGAAAACAGACCTGAACCCAACCTTCAGCTTACAGCCAAGCCCAGCCTAGATCAGCCATCCCCAAACCCAGTCCGGAGAAAAGATATACTTGTTTCAAACTACTGAGTTCTGGGGTCTTTTGTCATATAACATTATTGAGCAATAATCAACTGATATATTTCCAAACACTGACCTTGACAGAGATGAACTAATAAATATCGTCACTAACACAGCCCTGGAACCTAAAGAACATATACTCTTTTTACTTAAGTCTGCAAATATATCTATGGAACTCCAAATCACTGTAACTAATAGCTAGCACTTACTGAGTACCTACTATACACCAGACTCTGTGCTAGCTATACTATGAAGTTAGGCAAGAAAATCCTTGATCATCAAGATCTTGCCTCTGAGTTAACCTTCAGCCTTCTTTGCTAAACACAGTAGACCTTCTGAAATTTTTCTAATAACATCTAAATTTGTTAATATTTATTCATTTATCTTGTTGATGAAAGAGAAACATGAGAGAGAGAGAGAGACACCCCCGACAGGATCTCCACAACTTTATTTAACCCCAGCCTTAGTCAGCCCGGATCACAGGCTTGCAAGTGCATGCCGTGTGCTAAGGGAAGTCCCAGAATGTGAACCCAGAACACTTCCCATGTGGGTCCAATTCCATTACCACTGTGTCACTGCTGGGCCTCTAAATTTATTATTTAGATGCCACAGCAACATTAAAAGAAATGATCACTCAGAAATCTCTTGCCCTGAGATAAAATTTTCATTCCACCGATTTATTCTTAACTTTATCACATGAACATATTATTTGACCAAGGTTTACAAAGGTCATTAATACTAGTAATAACTGACACTTGTTAAATTCTTAGCATGTTCTAGGCACTGGGCTAAACTTCTATACATAAAGCATTTCATTTATTTCTGTAACAACCCTAAGAGGTAGAACCTTCAGCTTACAGCCAAGCCCAGCCTAGATCAGCCATCCCCAAACCCAGTCCGGAGAAAAGATATACTTGTTTCAAACTACTGAGTTCTGGGGTCTTTTGTCATATAACATTATTGAGCAATAATCAACTGATATATTTCCAAACACTGACCTTGACAGAGATGAACTAATAAATATCGTCACTAACACAGCCCTGGAACCTAAAGAACATATACTCTTTTTACTTAAGTCTGCAAATATATCTATGGAACTCCAAATCACTGTAACTAATAGCTAGCACTTACTGAGTACCTACTATACACCAGACTCTGTGCTAGCTATACTATGAAGTTAGGCAAGAAAATCCTTGATCATCAAGATCTTGCCTCTGAGTTAACCTTCAGCCTTCTTTGCTAAACACAGTAGACCTTCTGAAATTTTTCTAATAACATCTAAATTTGTTAATATTTATTCATTTATCTTGTTGATGAAAGAGAAACATGAGAGAGAGAGAGAGACACCCCCGACAGGATCTCCACAACTTTATTTAACCCCAGCCTTAGTCAGCCCGGATCACAGGCTTGCAAGTGCATGCCGTGTGCTAAGGGAAGTCCCAGAATGTGAACCCAGAACACTTCCCATGTGGGTCCAATTCCATTACCACTGTGTCACTGCTGGGCCTCTAAATTTATTATTTAGATGCCACAGCAACATTAAAAGAAATGATCACTCAGAAATCTCTTGCCCTGAGATAAAATTTTCATTCCACCGATTTATTCTTAACTTTATCACATGAACATATTATTTGACCAAGGTTTACAAAGGTCATTAATACTAGTAATAACTGACACTTGTTAAATTCTTAGCATGTTCTAGGCACTGGGCTAAACTTCTATACATAAAGCATTTCATTTATTTCTGTAACAACCCT